CGAGAAAAGGAAAGGATTTCCATTTCCTTCATAGGCGCCATCCCAAGCCGCTGGAGAAGACCGTTTCTGTAGGGATTTGATCAGAATAAATAGATCAAAGGTATATTAGGAAAGAGGAAGAGGAAGGAGAAAAAAGAGGGAAGAAAGAGGAAAGAAAGAAAGAAAGAAAGAAAGAAAGAAAAAGAAAGAAAGAGGCAGGGAAAAGAAAAGAAGAAAAGAGAAAAGAAAAGAAAGAAAAGAAGAAAAGAGAAAAGAAAAGAAAAGAAAAAAAGAAAAGAAAAAGAGCATTGGTATATACACAGAGTGGATATAAAAGCGCTTGTTGTCTTTTCTTGAAGGAATGGTTTCCCCCTTTTTACGATCGTAGAAGGACTCTGGCTGGTTATATGCCTGTTTTGGGGAGTGGGTGTCTGGGGTGGGGGGTAGCATTGTCTTAAATATATATTCTTTTTCTCAATTTCGTTGACCAAAGTGGAACATTTTTGTTTTGATGTCAAGGATGGGGGGGGAGAGATTTATTTAAAAAAAAAATTGGGGGGGGGGAGCTGGTGAATTTTATAACCGTGATTGGTGAAAGTTCGAATGATCGTTTAGATCATGGTTTGAAAGTGGACACACACACAGAGAGAGAGGATGGAATGGAGGGAGGGAGGGAGAGAGGGAAGAAGGAAGGAAAAGGGGGAAGAGAGGAAGAAAAAGGGGAGGGAGAGAGGAAAGAAAAATGGAGCGAGGGAGGAAAGAAGGAAGGAAGGAAAGAAAGAAAGAAAAGAGAGGAAGAAAAAGGGAGGGAGGGAGGAGGGAATGAAGGGAGGGAGGGAGGGAAGAAGGAAGGAAAAGGGGGGAAGACATGAAGGAATAGGGGAGAGAGAAAAGAAAAAGGGAGGAAGGAAGGAAAGACAGAAAGAAGGAAGGAAGGAAAGAAAAGAGGAAGAAAAAGAGGAAGGAAGGAGCAAGTGAAGGGAGGGAGCAAAGAAGGATGGAAGAAAGGAAGGAAACAAGGAAGGAGAGAAAAGAGAGGAAGGAAGGAAGGAAGGAGTGAAGGGAAGGAGTGAAGGGAGCAGAAGGGGATCCTCCTGCCTACAGAACAGACTTTGTCTCTCCAAACCGGTTTGGCCTAAATACAAAAGATTGCACGGGAGGCCCCGGTGGTCGCTGGGTTGTTGCAGGCCGCCCCTCACTCTCTTGGGTATAAGTTTGCATATTACGCCCCCCCCCCCCCTTCCCCCCCCCCCCCCCCCCCCAGTCTTTTGTTTCCACCCAATTGCTTGTGCTTGTTGGGTCCAGAAAGAGTCCTTATGCTTCCATCACCGACAGCCCACCTCCCACTTAGGGTGGGGGGAGCCTTTTGGGCCTTCCCTTCTTATCCCACCTGTACCAAAGTCTGTGGGGAGGGGGAACCCCCAATCCTTCCTTTTGCCTTTTGCCTTTTTTTTCTCCTTTCTCCCTTTTCTCCTTCTTTCCTTTTTTTCCTTCCCTTTCCTCCTCTTCCCTTTCCTCCTACCCCAGCTGTCTCTTTTTCTTTTATACCCCTTTGAGACCTCTTTTTTTCTCTCTTCCCCTCTCTCTTTTCAAAATTTCCCTTCCCATCTGCATCCATTTATCTCCTTCCTTTCCCTTTCCCCTGTCTACCTTTCTTTTTTTCCCTTTCTTTCCCGTTCTATTCTTTTCATTTCCTTTCCTCCATCTCCTTCCATCTTTCCTTTCTTCCTCCCTCCCTCCCTTTCCCCTCCCCCTCCCCCTTCCTTTCTTCTTCTATCCATTCCTTCTTCCTTCGTTTCTCTCTCCAACTTTCTCCCTTCCTTCCTTCTCTTCTTCCTTCCTTTCTTTCCTTCCTCTGTTCAGCTCTTCTTCCTTCGTTTCTCTCTCCAACTTTCTCCCTTCCTTCCTTCCTTCCTTCCTTCCTTCCTTCCTTCCTTCCTTCCTCTATCCACCCCTGCTTCTTTCGTTTCTCTCTCCAACTTTCTCCCTTCCTTCCTTCCTTCTTCTATCCATCCCTTCTGCCTTCGTTTCTCTCTCCAACTTTCTCCCTTCCTTCCTTCTTCCTCTCACCTTTCTACTTTTCTTTTTTCCTTTGTTCCGACGCCATCTGAAAACCGCTCCCCAGAACGGGGTGAGGGTGTGGGGGGGGGGCAGTCATTATTTAAGAGGCACCATTGCCGGTGTCTTCCAATTTACCGGTGGCTCTTATTTAAAAGAAAGGGAAAAGGTTTCTAAATCCAGATCACGCCTCCTCCACTCACCCAACCCACGCCACTGGCAGTAGTAGGCAAACAAAGACCTTTGGCTTTTATTTCATCTTCTTTTACCTGGGGCGGGGGTGACTAGGGGGTGGAGGGGTTTGAGATATTTCCTCCCTCTAAATTCCTAACTTTTTAAAATTTCTTTCCTCTTCTATCCGAGAAGTCCACCACGGGAGAGGCCAGGAATCCCGCGGGGCTTTCTCAGCACGCCTTGTCGTCCCCCCCCAACTTTCCCGCCCCCCAACACACTTCCAATGTTGTCCTACAAATAGGAGGCGGCGGGAGGGGGGGAGGCGGGACGGACAGAGTCCTCTTCATTATCGGACTCAATGAAATGACTAACTATGTACTTACTTCCCGGTGGTTTTTTTGGGAGAACCAAGCGAGACGGGGAGGGGAGGAGCGGAGGATGGAGAAGAAAGAAAGGAGAGAGAGAGAGAGAACCTTATAAATTAATCTCTCCTGTCCCCCCCCCTCCACCCCTGCCCCATTATCCCCGCACCTTGCATGACAAAGGCGGGAAGGAAGGACAGAAGAGGGGGGGGAAATACCAAACTCCCTTCCTAGATTCCTAGGCAACCGCCCCGCACGAGCCCAAAATTCCCAGTTCCCTTTTAGCCACCGTTGTGGTCTCCCCACTACCCGCCACTCCTACGTCCCCCCCCCCCAGGATTGGGGGAAAGTGGGGAGGGGGACATAAGCTAGCAAACTCTGGCCTCAACGGGAAAAACCGGAGAGCAGTCTGGCAAAGGTTGTGGCGAGGCATCCCCGATTGCGCGCGATGCGCAGGGGTATCCTTTTTGATACTTCGGGAAAAGAGGCGGGGGTGGGTGGGCGATGCCACAAGGGGCTTAAAAGCCCCCGGGGTGTGAAGGGCCGTGCAAGGGGTAAAAAACCACAAACGGGGGGGAAAAGACCCTCTCGGCTTTTGACGCCTGCCCCCCCCCCCCCCGGATTTCGCCCTTCGTTCCGACCTCGCCGATGTAATATTCACGCGGTCGGTTGTAGACAGAATTGACATAGAATTGGGAACGTCCGAACGGATTACACAAATGAACACTGCTCTCTAGATAACAACACTCTCTTTCCCCCCCCTCCCTCCATTAAATTGACTTGTACGTTGTTGGTGGTGGGGGGGTTGGTTATTGTTTTTGCTCTGAAATGAAAAAAAAAATGTTCTATTTTTTTTAAGGGTACCCGGTTCGTCAATTGGCGAGCTAATTTTGCTTCGGAACTAACTAACTTCCTTCCTTCCTTTCCTTTCCTTTCCTTTCCTTTCCTTTCCTTTCCTTTCCTTTTCCTTTCCTTTCCTTTCCTTTCCTTTCCTTTCCTTTCCTTTCCTTTCTTTCCTTTCTTTCTTTCTCCTCTCTTTTTTCTCTTTCTTTCTTCTCTCTTTCTTCCCTCTCTTCCTCTCTTTCTTCTCTCCCTCTTTTTCTCCTCTCTCTCTCCTCTCTTTTTTCTCTTTCTTCTCTCCCTTCCTCTGTCTCTCTTCATCTTTCAGTCTCTCCTCTTCCTTACTTTTCCTACACTTCAGTCCACCGAGGTCGGGGAATTAAGGGGTGAGGATGAAGATAAGAGGAGGAATATCGCGCGCCCCTTCTCTTTGGACACCCGGACGGGGTGTTGGTTGTTTTTGTTTGTTTGTTTGTTTGTTTTGGGTGGGGGAGGGATTTCAATTAAAGGGAATCCCCCAATCCTAATCCGTTCTTTTCTCCACGCCACATTCCCATCCACCCGTACGAGCGCACCTACAACGAAGCAGGCCGGCGGCCAGGAGGGAGCCAAAAAAGCAAAGTTTCCCAGGCTGCGATCTTGGTTCTAGCGCGGGTCTCTCCCGGGCGAGCCCCCGCCGGTCCTTGGGTCCACAACCCGCGAAGGCAAGCCGGAGCGACCCCCACGACGGTGGAGATGCGTGGAGATTCCCCCACACTCTCTGTTCTGTCCGTCCTCCCACCTGATGCTCTGGGTGCTTATTTTCCGAACGAAAGGGGCAGGGGGTTTCTTTGCCTCTGGGTGGGGGGGGGGAGGGGGGGGGGAAGAGGCGGGCAGCCCCCCCACTCACCCACTCACCCACCTGGCCGGCCCAACAGTTGTTACGCCCCCCGCCCCGGCCCCGCCAGCTCGCCCAGGTCGGTAAAGGCAAAAAAACTACTCACGGAGTACCTCGGCGCGTCAGGTGCGAATCTCGCCCCTCCACAATGGAGCTGCCTCTTTTTTTCCCCCTCTGTGCCAAGCGGCGGGCAGGAGCCAATTTAGATATGCTATAAATTAAGAGGTTGCCATGGCCACCGGCTCGCCATTGGCCGCCGCCCGCCCGACGTGGCGCCCCACGTCACCAAATCTGAATAAGGGTGCGCGAATTACTAAAAGCCTCAAGACAAAGCTGGGCGATGGGAGCAGCGCAAAAGTGGGATCGAGTCCCGGCCAGCCAGCGGCGCGCCGGCGAAGGAGGGGACCGGCCGAAGACCACCGCCGCGCCTGGGCCTTGCCAACCACCACCCTACCCCGACGCCTCCGGGGACCTCCTGCCCGGCATGCCGCGGCGCTGAAGCCGTCCGGGAAACCCACCTCGGCCCAGGAAAGCGCCCAGGAGCCAGAGGGGCGAAGCCGAGGAAGCCCCAGAGGGAGAGGAGGAAGAGGAGGAGGAAGAAGAAGAAGAGGAAGAGGAGGAGGAGGAGGAGGAGGAGGAGGAGGCGACGGCCGCGGGCGGCGCAGCGGAGCTGCTGGGCGGCGCAGCCATCCCACTGTCCGGCCGCGGCGATGATGGTGCATTGCGCCGGGTGCGAGCGGCCCATCCTGGACCGCTTCTTGCTCAACGTCCTGGACCGGGCCTGGCACATCAAATGCGTGCAATGTTGCGAGTGCAAATGTAACCTCACCGAAAAATGCTTCTCGCGGGAAGGCAAGCTCTACTGCAAGAACGACTTTTTCAGGTGAGGGGCCCTTCTCTTTTTCCCCCACCCCTCCTTTCCCCCTCCCCCTCCTCCCCCGCGCCCCCCCCCCCTCCCCTTCCCCGGAGGGGGGGCCCCCCCCCCCTTGCCCCCCCCCCCCAAAATATTTGCAGCTGGCCTTCAAGTCCTGCTCCCCCCCCCCCCCCCGCTGGGGTTTCTTCTGACTCCCTTTTGCAAGCTTCCTTCTTCGTGCCTCGGTTTACCTCCTGTCAAGCTGGAAATGCTCTCGCCCGCCTTCTCTTCCTTCCAGGCTGTGGCCTGATCCTTATCCCCCTCGGAGGAGGCTCCGAGGCAGCCCTGGGCAGCAAAATGGAACGCGATGGAGCCTGGAGGGGCGCGTGGGGAGGGGGAGGCGGCTGAGAGAGAGAGAGAGAGAGAGAAAGAAAGAAAGAAAGGGAATTGACCTGGGGGGCGAGGGGGAAACCTGATGAGGAATGTGGCTCGTTTATTCAGGTGGTTCGCTGGGACTTAACACGCTAACCTGGTTTAGGAGGGCATAAATTCCGTTGGATCCCATTCCCATCGCGTGGGCTTTCCCCAGGTGTCTCTGGTTTGCCATGCTCGAAGGAGAGAGAGAGAAAGAGGGAGGGAGAGGGAAGGGGAGAGAGAAAGAGGCAGAGAGGGATGGAGAAAGAGAGAGGAGAGGGAGGGAGGGAAGGAGGGAGAGGGAGAGGGAGGGAGGGAGGGGAAGGGGAGAGAGAAAGAGGCAGAGAGGGATGGAGAAAGAGAGAGGAAGAGGAAGGGAGGGAAAGAGAGAGGAAAGAGGGAGGGAGGGAGGGAAAGGGAGAGGAGGGAAGGGGAGAGAGAAAGAGGCAGAGAGGGATGGAGAAAGAGAGGGAGAGGGAGGGAGGGAAGGAGAGAGAGAAAGAGGGAGGGAGAGAGAGGGAGGCAGAGAGAGAGAAGGCGGATTTTGTCCATTTATATTATTAGTCCTAGTTACCTGATGGCACAGGTTAAAAACGTCGGCTCTCGCCAGGAACACCTCTGCCACCTCAACGAATCTGTCTTTCCACTCGTGAACCGGGACAACGAGGTTTGCCAAAGCGAAAGGAAGAGAACACCTTTCCCTCTTCCTTTCCCATCCCCGTGTTCCCCCTCCCACCCCCATCCCCATTTCCAGGGCCCCGTGGCCGGCGAGAGGTTGCACCTGCCCCCACTCCGCACCTTTCCTTCGGAGGGGCGCCCAAGTCTGATCGGAGAAGGCTAGTTGGCTTCTCCGTTCATCCCTCAAGGCTCGTGATTTGGGGGAGGGGGCGAAGCTCTTAATTTAGGGAACAGGCGAGAGAGAGAGAGAAAAAAAAATAAACAATAATAATTAAAGGGCCTGGAATTCGGGTGCTGCCATCCCCGACCCCCAATACTTACCTCTGCCGGGCCGATCTTTTTCCCCCATTAGCTGCGCCTCCCCTGCCTACTTATCACACGCGCGAGAACCCCTCCGCCCCTTCCCATCCCGGGTCTTGCAACGGGGGGGGGCGTGCAATGTACTCAGGCCCCAAACTGTTGGGGTTTTGTTTCCCCCACCCTTCAAGGACATTAATTCATTGGAACGGGACTCCTTAGTCAGGAAAGCGCCGAGGCCTGCAACCCTAAAGATTTTTTTGGGTGGGGGGGCCCGCCGGGGAGGGAGGCGTGGGGAGAGGGGTTTAACCTTCTTTTCTTTTCCGTGCCAACTTCTATAGATCTTTAGGGTGGGGGGGGTGAGGAGAGAGAAATGCTATTGGCTTGTATTATTGTATTTTATTTTTTTAAAGCGCCCCCTTCCCTTGTAAAGAGGGTCTCTTGGGGGTTTTCAGCGGGACTGGGAATGGGGTGGGGGGGCTGGGGGAAAAGACCCTGATATAGAGATGGTAATGAAGGCTCAGCGTCCTAATTGAAGGGGACGGCTGGGATGCGAAGCGGCCTTTCTTACTTAAATATGCGTTTTGTTTTGCCAACAGTAGCCGGGGGGGGGGTGGGGGGGGGGGGGGGGGGGGGGGGGGGGGGGTGGAATCGGCCGCTCCCTTCCTAAACCCCCCACCCCTACGCCCCCCTCCCTTCCCCGACGTTGCAGAGAGGCTCAAGCGAACCGGAGGGGGCGAAATGTAGCCCACCCGCATTTTTCTTTTTGTTTTAGGAAAGACAAACACCTTACACGCCCCCCCCCTTCCACACGCATCCACGCCCCCCTACAATCCACAATTAAAACCCATTTAAAAAAATGCAAAAGCAGAGTCCCTTGTCTTTTGAGTTTGGGACTGTAATTGAGGTAACGCCACCTCCCCGTTTAAGGGTGAGGAGCACGAAGATTGGGGGGTGGGGGGCGAGCAAGGGGAGGAGAGGGGGGGGATTGCTGAGATCCGCGGGTGTTTGGGCCCCAGGCGACGGCATATGAATAGGCGAAGGTTAAGCCTGCTTTGCACATGTAAACGGCCTCTAAGGACTTAGTCCGAATTCTTGGACCCCCCCAATTTTTTTTCCCTAGATGTCTTTCCCCCCCCCCCATCACTTCCCCTTAAAAACGGCAGGGATGAGATGCACAGAAGATGCAGGTGGTTATATTTCTTCTTTTTCGCCCATTTTTTTTTTTTTTTTTATGTGTAGCCTGTAATTTTTTTAAACAATTTTTTTAAATTTCAGGTAAAGGAAACGGTGCTTCGTTGGGGCGGGGGTGGGTGGGTAGGAGGAGAGCGAATAGACACCCTGGATCTCGGCTTCTAGCTTTTGAAGATTGTTTTATATTATCTCCGGATTCGAGCGAGCGGGCGAGCGAACCAAACTAAAAGATTTTATTTTTATTTTCTTAAAAAAAAAAAAACGGAATAAAATAAAAATATTTTTTGCCAGACTTCGATTTATTATTATTTGCGTTTAAGACGCAGAGAAGCCGGAGAGAAAAACGAACTTCTACCCAGGCTGAAGAAAACAACCTTCTTTAAATAATAATAATAATAATAATAATAATAATAATAATAATAATAATAATAATAATAATAATAACAACAACCCCCCCCAAAAAAATAAAATTCTCACATCCAAAATAGGGGTGCCTTTCTCTAGGAAGTAGATCCGAATCCAGGCAGACCAACGATTTCTAAGAGCCTGGAAGGACGCAACATTTTGAGAAGCGAAGCGCCCTTTTGCCTCGGCTTTTGCGCGGAACGGCGTCCCATTTGGATCAGGCCCTTTCTTAAGCGGATAAATTCCCTTTTACTATCATTTATAAATTATATTATAATTTGTAAATGATATCATACAATAGATTTGATAAATAGATGGATAGATGGATGGATAGATAGATAGATAGATAGATAGATACATACATACATACATACATACATACATACATAATATATAATTTAATATAATTATAATTATATAGGATGCCCAACGCGTCCCAGATTTTTTTACAAGCCGGATCAGAAAACGCAATGGACGTTATCAAATTATTTCCTTTTTCCAAAGGGTAGAAATCGCAGCATTTTTAAGAAGGGGGGGGAAGCGGGAAGGGAAAATGTTCCTTCGAGCATCGCACCCTCCTCTCTTCCTTTCTTCTTATGAGACATTCGCGCAGGATGGTTTTCTCCCCGGTTTATTTTATTCTTCTTCTTCTTCTTCTTCTTCTTCTTCTTCTTCTTCTTCTTCTTCTTCTTCTTCTTCTTCTTCTTCTTCTTCTTCTTATTCTTCTTCTTCTTCTCCTTCTTTTTTTTAAAAAAAAACCGTTTCCATCCAATGGCGCAGAAATCAGGACCATCACGAAAAATACTGAAGAAGGACCGAGATTTTTGACTGGACGGGGGTGGGTGGGTGAGAAGAGAACGCTTGCTGGCCGGAGTAAAAAAAAAAAACCGGAATCGATCCACCTGGTCTGTTTCAAATAGGGAAGCGCAATTCGAGTGTGTGTGTGGGGGGGGGGTGTTTTCTTTGTCGGGGTGTGTGTGTATGAGAGAGGGGGGAGAGAGGGAGAGAAAGAGAAAACGAGAGTAGAGAGAATGAGAGAGGGGGGGGACAAGAGGAGAGAGAGAAAAAACCCGGGAGAGAACAAGCGAAGTAGAGAGAATGAGGGGGAACAAGAGAGAAAGAGAAAGAAAAGGAGAGGAAACGAGAAAAGGGAGAGAATGAGAGAGGGGGAAACACACACAGAGAGAAAATGAGAGGAATGAGAGTAGAGAGAACGAGAGAGCGGGAAACAGAAAGAAAAAAAGAGAGAAGTAAAAAGAATGAGAGAGAGGGAGAAACAGAAAGAGAGAGAAAACAAGAGAAACGAGAGAATGAGAGAGAATGAGAGAGGGGGAGAAACAGAAAGAGAGAAAAAAATGAGAGAAATGAGAGAATGAGAGAGAATGAGAGAGAGGGAGAAACAGAAAGAGAGAAAAAAATGAGAGAAATGAGAGAAGTAGAGAGAATGAGAGAGGGGTAACAAGAGAGAGCGAGACAGAATGAGAGAAAACGAGAGAACTAGAAAGAATGAGAGTGGGGAGAAACAAGAAAGAGAGAGAGAGCAAACTGCCCCCCTCCTGACCAATCCTAAAAGCCCTTGAAATGACTATGGATCCGCTCGAGCACTCTCAGGATCAGCATTCCCAACTCCCCGGTAGAAACCTGGCCTCACCAGACTAGCAGCCACCCTGCTCCTTTCTTCCTCCCCTTCCCTGGGATCTCTTTTTTTTTAATCGATTCCTCTCCTTTTTTTCCAGGAAGTTTGGGACGAAGTGTGCCGGCTGCGCGCAGGGCATCTCTCCCTCCGACCTGGTCCGGAAAGCGAGGAGCAAAGTTTTCCACCTGAACTGTTTCACCTGTATGGTGTGCAATAAACAACTCTCCACGGGCGAGGAACTGTACATCATCGATGAGAACAAATTTGTGTGCAAAGAGGACTACCTGAGTTCCACCAGTTTGAAAGAAGGCAGCCTGAACTCAGGTGAGCGGGCTAGCGCTGGTGCGATCCCTTCCTTTCCCCTCACAACCCCCCCCCCCCCCCAATCTGTGGCCCTGCCTCTGGGTTCGAATCCCAGCAGGACAGACAATTTGAGTTTACAACTGGCCCGTGTTTCTTTTATCTCCCTGCTGGGGGTGGGGACGGAACACCTCAATGACAGGTAATCCTCAGGTACGGCCACCAAAATTTATGCCATTAAGCAAAACATGTGTTCAGTGAGTTTTGCCCCATTTGGCGACTTTTTGTGCTTGTCGGAAGGTCGCAAAACAGAATCAAGGGACCCCCCCGGGGAACCGTCATAAAATAGGGACCAGTTGCCGAATGTTTGAATTTTGATCACGTGACTCTGGGGATGCTGCAATGGAGTAATAAGTGTGGGGGAAAAACGGTCATCAATTACTGTTTTTCGGTGCCATTGTGACTTTCAGCGGTCACTAAAGGAACTGTTGTAAGTCGAGAACTACCTGTGGTCTTGGAGTCTGCACTCCCAACCGTGAACGATGTGGTCATTGAGTGAGTGATTTGAGGAAAGGGGGGTTGAGGAAGCAGATGGATAGTGAGGGGGGACCTTGGTTCTCTCTCATAGGCCCATCTTTGGATCTCAGCTAAGAATCCACTGCTAGATCTAAGACGGCCGCTTGGGTGATCTTATAAATCAGTCTTTCTCTCTGTTGATCCCTTGAAGATGCGTGGACTTCAACGCCCAGAATTCTCCAGCCAGGGGAATTCTGGGAGTTGAAGTCCATGCATCTTCAAGCGGCCAACGGTGAGAAAGAGTGTTATATAGATGGACTTGGTTGACTCACGAGATCCATATTCTACCTTCCTTCCAGAAGGTTAAAGCAGTCAACCCAACAGGTTAAGCTGATAGGCAGGGCCTGGCCCCAAATCCCTGAGAGAAGATGGGTCTGAATGAGTGTGGGCACAAGCCCACCTCCACCCCACCTCCATCCCCCCACCCCCGTGAGTTGCTGTGGTGTTGGTAGCCTTCCACAAAGCCTCACTTGAGTAGGACTCATTGAAGGTTAGGTTGCTTTCTGAATAGGCAAGCATCCATAAGCTTGTGCTATAGGGAAATGTTTCTGAAATTTAGTTTTCAGTTAAACAAGGGAAAAGTAAATGTACTAGAAGGAGAGAGATGTTCCAAGATCTCAACTTCAGGGGTTTTCCTTCCTTCTTTCTTTCCTTCCTTCCTTCCTTCCTTCCTTCCTTCTTTCCTTCCTTCCTTCCTTCCTCTCTCTTTTCCTCTCTCTTTCTTTCTTTCCTTCTATTTATTTTTTTCTCTCTTTTTCCTTCCTCTCTTCCTTCCTTCCTTTTATCCTGCTTTCCTTTCTCTCTCTCCCTCTTTTTTTTAATAATACTTTATTGATTTTAAAAAGAGAAAATTTTTTTAAGAAGAAAACATCAAATCTCCAATACTCTCCCTCTTTCTTTCTTTGTCTTTCTTTTCTCTCCTTCCTTCTTCTTTCTTGCTTTCTCTCTCTTTTTTCTTTCTTTTTTCACTCGCTCTTCCTTCCTCCTTCCTTTCTTTCTCAATTTCTTTCTCTCTCTCTCTCTTTCTCTCTCATTTTTCTTTCTCTGTCTCTCTCTTTTCTCTCCTTCCTTCTCCCTTTCTCGTTCTCTTTCTTTTTCTTTCTCTCTCTTTTCTCTCTTTCTTTTCTCTTTCCTTCTTCCTTCCTTTCTCAATTTATTTTTCTTTCTCTCTCTCTTTCTTTTCTCTCTCCTTCCTTCCTTCTTCCTTCCTTCCTCTTTCTTTTTCTTTCTCTTTCTCCCTCTCTTTCTCCCTCTCTCTCTCTTTTTTCTCTGTCTTTCTTTTTTCCTTCCTTCCTTCCTTCCTTCCTTCCTTCCTTCCTTCCTTCCTTCCTTGCTTCCTTCCTTCCTTCCTCTTCATATTAAGCTACTCCTCTTTCTGTCAGGATCCCAGGCTATTTTCATTCAGCCCTTGAGGTAGAAGGTTTTTCAAAAACCGTCAGGAGCTTCTGTTTCATAGGAAGTTTAACCAACTTTCCAAGTGGGGAGGGAAGTGACAATGGGCAAAGCAGGATTTCAGATGGCCAGCTCTCGGTTGGGGGGCTTCTTCCAGTTGGCTGCTGGCCAGAGTGTAGCCAAGACAATTGTGAGTTGGGATCAGGTGTCTTTTCAGCCTGCTCCACCTCCTTCTCTTTGTCCGTTGGCTCACGGCCTAATTTAGTGATGTGGGGAGAGAAATGGGGGTCTGGGAAGTTACCCTGAATGCTGCAGATAACCTCACCATCTGCATGAAAATGGTGAGCCCTTCAGACCGTGGCATCTGCCAAACAACTCTTGGTCCTTGCTGCTTTTCAGATGCTTCTCGGGAGCCTTCTCCAGCCCAGCTTGTCCTAACCTTCTCCCCCGCAAGATGGGCCACCCCATGACCCACCATCAGCCAGCATGGCATGCTAGAGGGGCAGTGGAGGGGAAGGAGAGCTGTTCTCATACAAAAAGAGACGTTGGGGGGGGGGGGGGGGGCCCAAAACACGTGCATCTTCCTGGCATCGGTTTATTCACCCGCCAATCGAGAGAAGCGAGTTCAAGGGGGCTGCTGGCCTTGCTGAAGATGCGGAGATAAGGATGCGACTCCTTTGCTAATTAAAAGTGAAGATTCCGTCCAGTTATGCTTTGCCCTTTGGTGATTTCACGAATGAATGTGTCCTTGTAGGTTTCTTGGCAGGAATAATGGATATGGTTTGCTATAGATTTGGTGGTCTCCCATATAAGATTGAGCTTCCTTCCTTCCTTCCTTCCTTCCTTCCTTCCTTCCTTCCTTCCTTCTTTCCTTCCCTCCCTCCCTTCCCATCTTCCTTCCCTCCCTTTTCATTCCTTTCATCTTTCTTCCTTCCTTCCCTCTTCTTTCTTTTCCTCCCTCCCTCCCTCCCTCTCTCTCATCTTCCCACCCTCCTTCCCTCCCACCTTCCTTCCTTCCTTCCCATCTTCCTCCCCTCCCTTTTCATCCCTTTCATCTTCCTTCCTTCCCTCTTATCTTCCTTCTTTCCCTCTCTCCCTCCCTCTCATCTTTCCACCCTCCCTCCCTCCCTCCCACCTTCCTTCCTTCCCACCTTCCTTCCTTCCTTCTCATCTTCCCTCCCTCCATTTTCATCCCTTTCATCTTCCTTCCTTCCTTCCCTCTTATCTTCCTTCTTTCCCTCTCTCCCTCCCTCTCATCTTTCCACCCTTCCTCCCTCCCTCCCTCCCTTATTCCTTCCTTCCCATCTTCCTTTCTTCTCATCTTCCCTCCCTCCATTTTCATCCCTTTCATCTTCCTTCCTTCCTTCCCTCCCTCCCTCTCATCTTCCCTCCCTCCCTCCCTCCTTCCTTCTGCATATTTCAATAGGGCAAGAATGACATTTCCCCAACCAGACTTCCAAGCTCATCAGAATAGACTTCCCATCATTAACTTAGACAGCCTGGCTGAGATTCCTTGGATTTGTTGTCCAAAATATCTCCAGAGCACCAGCTGGCGGTGGCTTTTCCAAATAGCTCAGTGGGTTGGCTCCTACCCTTTGCTTCCAAACTCTCTCTTTCTTTTTTTTTTCCTCCACAGCTTTATTTGTTTGGCTGATTCATTAATGAATCAATTAATTGATTGCCTTCCCACTGCCTTTGGGCTCCTCTATCCTCTCAAAGCAACTCCCCTGCTTTTCTTTGATGCACACATACCCTTTTCTCCCTGGACACGTCTTCCCAAGGAACCTGGCGGTCAACAGTTAGGTTCTCTCACTGATAGCAAGATGGCAGAGCAGCTTGGGGGTGGGGTGGGCGGAAGCAAAGGGAGGACCTGTTAGAAATTTATTTTTATTTATTTATTTATTTATTTTTATTTGATTTATATGCCGCCCTTCTCCGGAGACTCAGGGCGGCTTACAACGCGTTAAGCAATAGCCTTCATCCTTTTGTATATTTTATACAAAGTCAGCTTATTGCCCCCACAAACTGGGTCCTCATTTCACCTACCTTAGAAAGGATGGAAGGCTGAGTCAACCTTGAGCCTGGTGAGATTTGAACTTGCAGTAATTGCAGGCAGCTGTGTTAATTACAGGGTGCATTAAACCACTGTACTACCAAGGCTCCTAGAAAACCTGTTGGCTGGTGGTATTTTCTCCCTGGCTCTCAAATGTTATAAGGTGGCTCTCTTTTGTCTAAACTAGAGGTGGTAAGTAGCCGGTTCGAACTGGTTCTCCTGAACCGGTAGTGGAAATCACAGGTGGGCCTGCCGGTAGGTCCCAGCTCTATGCTGTCCTATTTAGGCAGGTATTTGAGGTCGGGTAGGCGCACGAGTGAGCAAAACACATGCGCAAAACGCCGTGCGCCTTTGTGGATGGGGTACGTGCGCTCACATTGGCGAACCAGTAGGGAAGGTAAGTGACTTACTACCCCTGATGTAAACCCTTCCTTCCAGTGGTGAAATCCAATTTTTTCTACTACCGTTTCTGTGGGCGTGGCTTGGTGGGCGTGATGTGGTGGGCATGGCAAGGGAAGGATACTGCAAAATCTCCATTCCCTCCCCCCACTCCTGGGGGAAGGAGATTTTATTTATTTATTTATTTATTTTAAATTTATATACCGCCCTTCTCCCTGAGGACTCAGGGCGGTGTACAGCCAGAATTAAAAAACATAAAATACAAATATTAAAAAACAATTAAAATATATATAAATTTGGCCCAAAATTAAAAATACAAACCAATTAAAACATTTAAAATTTTATGATTGCAAAATCTCCATTCCCACCCCACTTCAGGGGAAGGATACTGCAAAATCTCCATTCCCTTCCCACTCCTGGGGGAAGGATACTGCAAAATCTCCATTCCCACCCCACTTCAGGGGAAGGATACTGCAAAATCCCCATTCCCACCCCACTCCAGGGGAAGGATACTGCAAAATCCCCATTCCCTGCCCACTCCTGGGGGAAGGATATTGCAAAATCCCCATTCTCACCCCACTGTGGGGCCAGCCAGAGGTGGTATTTGCCGGTTCTCTGAACTACTCAAAATTTCCGCTACAGGTTCTCCAGAACCTATCAGAACCTGCTGGATTTCACCCCTGCTTCCTTCCCTTTCTGCTGAATGAGACACAAGGTGGACTTCCTTCCGACTTTCCCATAAAAAGTATTGGGCAGAGTTTAATCCCCTTTGTGTCAGGCGCCAAAACCCAAGAGAGACATGTTTTGATTCTTCCAAGGAGTTGTCTGTATTGTCCCTTGCCTATAGACAGAATCTGGCTAAACTAAAGCAGGCAACCTGTAAGAGAAGGAATGGAAGAATATCTTGGGTGGAGTTAAAAGAGTGATCAGCCTGGAATCTGTACATAGTCACAAGCAGACCAAGTCCAACTCCTTTGAATTCCATGGACCCTTATCAAATTCCTAGCAGGTGCGAACCAGCAATTGAGAAGATTCCTGTGAACAGGCCTTTTAGCAATCAATCGGTTGTAACTGGAGAAGATTTGTAGCTCAGGGTTGAAGTGAGGAGTCCTCGGTGCTCTCTGGACTTGATTGTTTTCTTCCAGACATTCAGTTATCCAAACTAGATAATGTCACTAGCCCGGATGATGCTATCTAGATTGGGTAATTAAACATCTGCAAGAAAACCACCAAGCTCAGATTTCATCAAGGACCCTTCAATTGGATCTTCACCTGCTGGACATTACTACCCCCATAAAGGGTATATACTCTGGGAACTCTTAAGGAGGAGCCATCTTCACCCTCATTCTCACACACAAACTCTCTGAACTGTGGTGTCTCTTGTTCCTCCTGAACGAACTCCTTCCATCCTGGGAATCCAGACCACATCCCATGACTTCTGGCTAAGCTGCCCCTCCCCACTCATGTTTCCACTTGCTCTTTCTTTCTCCCAACCTATTCACCATTCTCCCTTTTCCTCCCCCCCTCAACAGTTTCTTCCTGTACCGATCGAAGTTTATCTCCGGACCTTCAGGACCCCATGCAGGACGATACAAAGGAAACAGACAATTCCACTTCCTCGGATAAAGAAACCACCAATAACGAAAATGAGGAGCAGAACTCTGGAACCAAAAGAAGGGGACCTCGGACCACTATCAAAGCCAAGCAGCTGGAGACCCTCAAGGCGGCTTTTGCAGCCACCCCTAAACCCACCCGGCATATTCGGGAGCAGCTAGCTCAAGAGACGGGGCTCAACATGAGAGTCATCCAGGTAAGATAAAAAAATATTTGACTTTATTAGAGTTTTGAAGGTGTCTGGTCGCCTTGATATGGGAAAAGGAAGGAAGGAAGGAAGGAAGGAAGGAAGGAAGGAAGGAAGGAAGGAAGGAAGAAAGAAAAATTCTTGTTGAGACCTTAGAAAGAGTGCAGAGAAGAGCAACAAAGATGACTAGGGACCATAGATGAAGGTTGTGGGAATGGGGAATGTCTAGTCTAATGAACAGAAGAACTAGGGGTGACATGATGGCAGTCTTCCAATATTTTAGGGCCTTCAAAGAGAAGAGGGTGTCAAGTGCTTGGAAAATCAAGAGATCCAGGCAGTTTAAATGGGAAGAAAGATTTATTCTCTACAAGAATCTGAACTACTAACAGTCAAAGCAATTTGGCGGTAGATAAGGAATTCACGTTGGGCTGGATTTAGATCTTGAGTGGGCGCGAAGGGACACATGGCTGATGACATGTTTGACCCCTCCCTTGGACTCAGCCTGGTCATCTTCTACAGAGGGCAGGTCAACCTATTCTCCAAAGTACCTGAGGGCAACACAAGAAGTAATGAGTAGAAACTTGTTGAAAGAAATCCAACTCAGAAATTTCCTGAGAGTGAGAGCAATAAATCAGTGGAACAGCTTGCCTTCAGAAGTTGTACGTCCTCCATCACTGGATGTCTTCAAGAAGAGACTGGACAATCATTTCTCCGGGGTAGTATAGGATATGCTGCTTGAGCTTGTGGTTGGACTAGAAGACCTCCAAGGTCCCTTCCACCTCTTTTATTCTGTATTCTATTCTATTCTGAATGATTGCATACCATACTCTTAAAGGTAAAGGTTCCCCTCGCACATATGTGCAAGTCGTTCCCGACTCTAGGGGGTGGTGCTCATCTCCGTTTCAAAGCCGAAGAGCCAGCGCTGTCCGAAGACGTCTCCGTGGTCATGTGGCCGGCATGTCTCAACACTGATGGCACACGAAACGCTGTTCCCTTCCCACCAAAGGTGGTCCCTATTTTTCTACTTGCATTTTTTACCTGCTTTCGAACTGCTAGGTTGGCAGAAGCTGGGACAAGTCACGGGAGCTCACCCCGTTACGCGGCGCTAGGGACTCGAACCGCCGAACTGCCGACCTTTCGATCAACAAGCTCAACGTCTTAGCCACCGAGCCACCACGTCCCTTACCATACTTTTACCGCGGCTTACCAAACGTCTGCTGTAAAGCACTGTAAAGCGGTATATAAGTCTAAGCGCTACTGCTATTGCTATCTTCATCCTCATTCTCACACACAAACGACACCTTTTAGGTCTATCATCATCACTTGTCACATCTGGACATCTGGAAAGGGTCTTTGCTGCTGAATTATCTCTAAGGATTTTTCTTCCCTTCACTTGTTGACAAGTGAGCTTGGGATTTTTTTGGGCTCATCTCCAAAAGGATTTTGTCTTTTTCTTCTTTTTTTTTTTTTACAGCCAGCCATCATCCTTTTTCATTATTTGTCTTCTAGGAAATCTTTCCAGAGCCAAAACCTTCGCTGCTTTTTTAATTAAGAAAAGGGATGTTAGGAAGTCACCTTAACAAAAGCCAACATTTGCAGGAGTGGCAGCCAGATGGAGGGGAGATTCAAGAGAAGGAGCAGACGACATCCTATCAGATAATTAGGTTTTCTTAGAGAGAGAAATAATGGATACCACCAGGGGTGAAATCCAGCAGGTTCAGACAGGTTCTGGAGAACTGGTAGCGGAAATTTTGAGTACTTCGGAGAACCAGCAAATACCATCTCTGGCTGGCCCCAGAATGGGGAGGGAATGGGGATTTTGCAATACCCTTCCCCCAGGAGTGGGGAGGGGATGGGGATTTTGCAGTATCCTTCCCCTGGAGTGGGGAGGGAATGGGGATTTTGCAGTATCCTTCCCCTGGAGTGGGGAGGGAATGGGGATTTTGCAATATCCTTCCCCTGGAGTGGAGAGGGAATGGAGATTTTGCAATAACTTTCCCCTGGAATGGGGAGGGAATGGAGATTTTGCAGTATCCTTCCCCTGGAGTGGGGTGGGAATGGCGATTTTGCAATAACTTTCCCCTGGAGTGGGGTGGGAATGGAGATTTTGCAATAACTTTCCCCTGGAGTGGAGAGGGAATGGAGATTTTGCAGTGTCCTTCCCCTGCCATGCCCACCAAGCCATGCCCACCAAGCTACACCACGCCCACCAAGCCATGCCCACAGAACCGGTAGTAAAAAAAAAATGGATTTCCCCACTGGGTACAACCATGTCTTCCTGGTTCTTGGCCCTTAAACCAGAGAATGGGCAACCATGGCCCCTGTATGGCCTGTGGACTTCAACTCCCAGAATTCCTGAGTCATAAAGGGGCCATGAGGGATGCAGTGGCCCAGTGGCTAAGACGCTGAGCTTGTCGATCGAAAGGTTGGCAGTTCAGCGGTTCGAATCCCTAGCGCCGCGTAACGGGGTGAGCTCCCGTGACTTGTCCCGGCTTCTGCCAACCTAGCAGTTCGAAAGCAGGTAAAAAATGCAAGTAGAAAAATAGGGACAACCTTTGGTGGGAAGGGAACAGCGTTCCGTGGGCCTTTGGCGTTGAGTCATGCCAGCCACATGACCACGGAGACGTCTTCGGACAGCGCTGGCTCTTCGGCTTTGAAACGGAGATGAGCACCGCCCCCTAGAGTCAGGAACGAGGGGAACCTTTACCTTTAACTTTAAAGGGGCCATGAGCCATAAAGGGGCCATGAGTTGCTCACTCTGCCTTAAATGCAAACCCCCAATTGCACGGGAAGTCTGGGATTTGAAGCTCACAGGTCTTAAAGTTGCCAAGGTTGGACACACCCCTGAACTAAAGTTGATGGAAAAGAACTCAACCACCAGATCTCTTTTGGGATGGAGATTACTTTGGCCAGATTTCTTCCTGTTTTGCCAACTGGCAAAGAGGAAACCAGTCTTTCCAATTTCTATCGATCGGCTAAAGAGAGAACTACCGATCTTTTTTTTCCAGATTCAAAGCAACAGACTGCAAAGATTAAACCGTTTTGACGTAGGCTCCCTTAAAAAGCAGGAGGCAGGAATTACTGGCAAAACCTCTTTTATTGACACGGCTGTGAATTACGTTCATTCACAGTCAGCAAGGCCCGTCCAAACAGTTTTTTCAAAGGAATGTTTATCAACACAGACCTTATCTCGCTTGGCAAGCTGCCACGTAACTTGTTTCCAACCGCAGTACAAGGCAAAACTTGGCACAGAGTCTCTCAGAGTCACGGAACAAATGAATTGTTTCCTGCAAAAGGCCCCTCCCCGTTCTCTCCTCTTCTGTTTGGGGGGGGCAATCACCTCCAAGGTGTGGCTTTACTCCTAAGTCGACCCTGCTTTCTGAGTTTTTCTTGTCTTCTGGCAGCTCTGCACATGCACACACTGGGAACAGGCTTCAGCTGTTCCTGTGCCTCGCTGCTGTCTAGCTCCCTCTCTGCCTCCTCATGACTCCGAATGAGGACTACTCTGGCCTGCGTCTTCCAAAATAGGTCAACTTTTCCTCTTAACCAGTATCCTGCACAGGTGGGAAACTACAGTTTCCATCCATCATGGGATGTCTGGTGGGGAAGATCTCTAGATCTTCCAGATCCTTGTGTTCCTGGTCCCTTGAGGAAATTGCTTTTATCTGAAGACCTTCTCAGCTCCATATGCCAAGAAATTTGGTTGATGAGCAAATCCAGATATTCCTTTAAAAAAAAAAAATCTTCCATCTTTGCAAAATTCTCTTCTTTGGTTCAGCACTTCAGCCTGGACCTTCTTGAAGAAAGCTTCTGCCTGGATTCTCCTGTTTGCCTAGGTTTACATGAACTATGGACTAGGCAGGGATTCCCAAACTTGGCAACCTTTGTGACTTCAAGTCCCAGAATTCCCCAGCCATCATTGGGTGGCTGAGGAATTCTGGGAGCTGAAGTCCACAAGTCTTAGGTAAAGGTAAAGGTTCCCCTCGCACATATGTGCTAGTCGTGCCCGACTCTAGGGGGCGATGCTCATCTCCGTTTCAAAGCCGAAGAGCCAGCGCTGTCCGAAGACGTCTCTGTGGTCATGTGGCCAACATGACTCAACGCCAAAGGCGCACGGAACGCTGTTCCCTTCCCACCAAAGGTGGTCCCTATTTTTCTACTTGCATTTTTGACCTGCTTTCAAACTGCTAGGTTGGCAGAAGCTGGGACAAGTCACGGGAGCTCACCCCATTACGTAGCACTAGGGATTCGAACCGCTGAACTGCCAACCTTTTGCCAAATTTGGAGAGCCCTGGACCAGCCCGATGTCTCGGGATTCATAAACAACCCCCCCTCCCAAATTAGTTCCACAGGCTGGGTTGAGATCCAGTGTCACTGCTTTGCTGATGACTCAATGAATCTTGTGAACGCACACCCCACTTTCTTAAATCATTAGCTCTGGTGGAAATAACTAGAGTGAAATTAATTTATGACTAGCAAAAGGGAGGGAGAGTCCAGGCTGGTCTATTAAGTGGGGTTTTTTTTTTTCCTTACAAGAGAAGGACTTCCGCTAAAACCGGTGAGGGGGTTGAGAATTTACACATGAATTAGGAATGGAATTGGTGAAGTGGTGTAGGGTTTCCTGCCTAAGCAGGGGGTTGGACTAGAAGACCTCTAAGGTCCCTTCCATCTCTGTTATTCTATTCTATTCTATTCTATTCTATTCTATTCTATTCTATTCTACTCTACTCTACTCTACTCTACTCTACTCTACTCTACTCTACTCTATATTCTGCCCTGTCCTGCCCTGTCCTGTCCTGACCCCATCCCATCCCATCCCATCCCATCCCATCCCATCCCATCCCATCCCATCCCATCCCATCCCATCCCATCCCATTCCATTCCATTCCATTCCATTCTATTCTATTCTATTCTATTCTAATTCTAATTCTAATTCTAATTCTAATTCTAATTCTATTCTAATTGTCATACACAGAGGGAGGAGGTCCAAGAACTGTCCTCTTCACTTGTTTTCAGAGTGGCGTGCTAAATTTCTTCCTTAAATCATAATCAGTAGGGTTTCCTCAAGAGAGGAAACCCCAAACCATGGTTTAGCATAAGGATGGAGTTTACCCAACATCTTAAACCAACATCAAGGAAATCACAGGATGGTTGGGTTCCCATCACCCCTACAGCTATAACTAGACCACCATAAATTAACCCTAATCCTTTATGGTTAAGTGTGTTCCAATCCCAGCCAATGAATTGTGCAAAAGTGAACAATTGAGTCAATCCTAAACCATGGATAGGTGTATCGTGTGAAAACAGACAATCAACAGATTGTGTACATGCCTGTGTTCACCAATACAATTTACCCACGGTCAGGAGAACCAGGAGCCTTGGTGGCCCAGTGGTCAGAATGCGATACTGCAGGCTGACTCTGCCCCACTGACAGGAGTTCGATTCTGACCGGCTCAAGGTTGACTCAGTCTTCCATCCTTCCAAGGTCAGTAAAATGAGGACCCGGATTGTTGGGGGTGATAGGCTGATTCTGTATACTGCTTAGAGAGGGCTGTGAAGCCCTGTGAAGCGGTCTATAAGTCTAACGGCTATTGTTTTTGTGATAGATAGATGATAGATAGATAGATAGATAGATAGATAGATAGATAGATAGATAGATGGAAAGATGATTGATAGATAGATGATAGATGATAGATAGATAGATTATAGATAGATAGATAGATAGATAGAGAGAGAGAGAGAGAGAGAGAGAGAGAGAGAGAGAGAGAGAGGCAGGCAGGCAGGCAGGCAGTTAGACAGACAGACAGGAGCCTTGGTGGTGCAGTGGTCAGAATGCAGTATTGCAGGCTGACTCTGCCCACAGTCAGGAATTCGATCCTGACCAGCTCAAAGTTGACTCAGTCTTCCATCCTTCTGAGGTCAGTAAAACGAGGACCCGGATTATTGGGGCCAAGAGGCTGATTCTGGTAAACCACTTAGAGAGTCCTTAAAGCGCCATGAATAAATCTTAAGTGCTATTGCTATTATTGTTCTTGTGATTGCTTTTGCTAAATGAACACCTTGGGCGACCTTCTAACCGGCAAAGTCAATGGGGAAAACCAGGTTCACTTAACAACGTCACGACTGCAGTGATTCACTCTACAACCGTGGCAAGAAGGGCCGTAAAATGGGGCAAATTTCACTTTGATTGTCATAGGTTTAGGATTACTTGTCCCCGTACAATTCGGACGCTCGGCAGTGTCATAGGTGGCGCAGTGGTTAGAATGGAGTATTGCAGGCAAACTCTGCCCACAGCCTGGGTCTTTTCTCATGAATAATCTTCTGCCAGGAGGATTATGGCCACATTCTCAACATGCACTTAACCCAGATCTGGAATTGATCCCTTTGCTGAGTTGACCCAACCCCAACCGCCAACTAACCCAACGGGAGGCGTCGTCAAATCCCCTACCGGTTATCCCCTCCTTTCCCTCCACAGAGGGAAGATTTGAGATTAACCCAGTTGAGCTGGTTGCGTGAATGCAATCCACCTGCGTCAATAAATGCAGTTGTAGGGATAGAAGAGAATATGGGTAGCTCAGGGCTACCAATCTGGGGTCCTTGGCACTCTCTGAGCTTGGTTGTTTTCTTGTAGACATTTTATTACCCAACTAGGTAACATATTCAGTGATAGGAGGGAGGGGGGTTTGTGGGGGGAGGAGGAGGAGGAGGAGGAGGAGGAGGAGGAGGAGGAGGAGGAAGAGGAAGAGGAAGAGGAGGAGAACTATGGGGTCCTTGGTGCTCTCTGAGCTTGGTTATTTTTTTGTAGACATTTTATTACCCAACTAGGTACCATATTCAGTTAGGAGGGAGTGGGGTTTGGGGGGAATGAGGAGGAGGAGGAGGAGGAGGAGGAGGAGGAGGGTTGTGGGGTCCTTGGCACTCTCTGAGCTTGGTTATTTTCTTGTAGACATTTTATTACCCAACTAGGTAACATATTCAGTTAGGAGGGAGTGGGGTTTGGGGGGGATGAGGAGGAGGAGGAGGAGGAAGAGAAGAAGGAGGAGGAGGAGGAGGACTATGGGGTCCTTGATGCTCTCTGAGCTTGGTTATCTTCTTGTAGACATTTTATTACCCAACTAGGTAACATCATCAGTGCTAGGAGGGAACGGGCTTTGTAGAGTGGAGGACGAAGAGAAGAAGGTAGTTTCCTTCTTAAGGCATTTCACTACCATGCTCCGTAACATCATCAGTGCATCCCGTTGCTTTCTAGGAAGGAATCCTTCTCATTTTTTTCCCCCAACTCTATTGGCTTTCTCAGGATAGGACCAGCCTTTTCCTCCATCATCCCATTTTGGGGATGTTCCTGGGGGAACCGGGATGGGTGGGGTTGGTTGGTTGGAAGGAAGGCTCATCTGCTTGGGGAGACCCTCATCTGACCCTCTCCCCCCTCCCCCACCCAACTCTCTCCTACAGGTTTGGTTCCAGAACCGACGCTCCAAAGAGCGAAGAATGAAGCAACTGAGCGCCTTGGGAGCCCGAAGACACGCGTTTTTCCGGAGTCCTCGGCGCATGCGCCCTCTGGGAGGCCGGCTGGATGAATCCGAGATGCTGGGCACGGCTCCTTACAGCTACTACGGAGGTAACACCCTTTCTTCTCCTCCAAGGGGACTTTCTTTCGTCTGAATGTGCTCCTTCAAGGGCGAAATGCTTGTCTTTGGCTTGTTTTCTCCTTGCGCTTAGACTCCTGAGTCGGGGAAGGAGGATATTTGTTAGGTGGACTTAAAGGTCTTCAGATTGTGAGAATATGAGGGTTTTGGTTCTGGCTAGCCAATTTTTTTTTTTTAATTTGATTTATATGCCGCCCTTCTCCGGAGACTCAGGGCGGGCTTACAATGCGTTAAGCAATAGCCTTCATACTTTTGTATATTTTATACAAAGTCAGCTTATTGCCCCCACAATCTGGGTCCTCAATTTACCCACCTTAGAAAGGATGGAAGGCTGAGTCAACCTTGAGCCTGGAGAGATTCGAACCTGCAGTAATTGCAGGCAGCTGGTCTTAATAACAGGGTGCTTTAGACCACTGTACTACCAAGGCTCCTTAAGCAATAGCCTTCATACTTTTGTATATTTTATACAAAGTCAGCTTATTGCCCCCACAAACTGGGTCCTCATTTCACCTACCTTAGAAAGGATGGAAGGCTGAGTCAACCTTGAGCCTTGGCGAGATTCGAACCAGCAGTAAATTGCAGGCAGTTGTGTTAATAACAGGGTGCATTAAACCACTGTACTACCAAACCACTCCCATCGTGGTTTGTTGGCTAAGCCACCATGGCTGGGAGTGGTGGGGTGTTTTTTTGGTAATGCATAATTGCGTTTGTGTAAGAATAACTTTATCTATTTATATCGGGGAGAGAGAGGGAGAGAAAGAAGGGGATTTATTTTTAAATGGTGTGTGTGTGACAATTGATATGCATACACAGATAAACCTCTGGTCTGGTTTCTGTGCTGTTGGGGGAGTAGGCAATATTTTTGGAGTGAGTGTTGTAATTTGTGATTATTATTATTATTATTATTTTTGAAATATTTTTTATTGTTTTATATCATGCATTTCCTTTCTATGTGGAGCAGTATGCTCGTGCACAAGTGTGCAAACTGGAGAGGTAATAGTTGGAGCTTGGGATCTGTTCGTGCACAAGTGTGCGTGCCTGGTTATAAATGTTCACTAAAGTGATATGCTCGCGCACAAGTGTGCAAACTGGAGAGGTAATAGCTGGAGCTTGGGATCTGTTCGTGCACAAGCGTGCGTGCCTAGTTATAGATGTTCACTAAAGTGTATTTCTCAGTTTATTGTTTTTGCAAAGCAACAGCAATACAATGGGGGCAGAAAATTGCACATATATTTTAAGTGTGAACTTGCTTCCTGAACCGGGTTTTCATTTTTATCCTCTTGGGTTCTTTTCACACCTATGTTTCCAAAAAGCAGAACCTGTCTGACTGTCTTGAATAAAACGAACAAAAACCAGTGCAATTCACACTGATTGTGCCAGCCCTTAGATTCTTCCTTTGCCCTGGTAGGAAGAGAGCAACCCCCGCCTCTCTTGCCTACTCTCCCCCCCTTCCCCTACATCCCATCCCACTCCCCCAGGTTTCCTGGGTCTACCATCCAAGCCCCGCCTTTTAAGCCCAAGCGGCACAAAAGCTGTCATTTCAACTTGATTGAAACCTGTAAGGAAGATTGATTGGCAGAAATGCCCTGTATGTATTTGATGTTCCTGGTTTGTTCTGTTGTGCGTTTGGAGGAAAACTGGGTGGCAATTTTGTGGTTGTGTTCTTACAGGTTGATCAGGTCAGGTCCAATCGCACCTGCTGGCCTGGCATAGCCAGCAAGGTGGTGTTATGTTGTGTTGTGTTGTGTTGTGTTTTGTTTTGTTTTGTTTTGTTGGGTTGGGTTGGGTTGGGTTGGGTTGGGTTTTATTGGATTGGGTTTTGTTGGGTTGGGTTGGGTTGGGTTGGGTTGGGTTGGGTTGGTTTTGTTGTGTTGTGTTGTGTTGTGTTTTGTTTTGTTTTGTTTTGTTTTGTTTTGTTTTGTTTTGTTGGGTTGGGTTGGGTTGGGTTGGGTTGGGTTGGGTTGGGTTGGGTTGGGTTGGGTTTTGTTGGGTTGGGTCGGGTCGGGTTTTGTTTTGTTTTGTTTTGTTTTGTTTTGTTTTGTTTTGTTTTGTTTGTCTGCAAGCACCCCTTCTCCCCCTTTGCATTTGATATGAGATTCAGGAGTAGAAAAAAACAGATCCATTCTGTCACTGGGTTATTCCTCTAAAAAGGGGCACCGTTCCTTGGAGACAACACACAAAAGGGGAAATTGAAATCCTTTCGGAAAGCACAGGTCTCCCAAGGTCTACTCAGAAGGAAGTGCTGGAGAACCCAATGGGGTTTATTCTGAGGAGGGAAGCAGGTATCCCTACCTGTGCCACCTGTTCAGAAAATGGGCTTTAGGTACTCAGTAAAGGGTTGGCTCTGAATGCCATAAACAAATGGTCTTGTAAAGGCCGGTGGGTGTGGATAATGGGAGTTGTAGTCCAAAGCGGCTCAGAGAGCAGCCAATCGGGAGGGTTCTTTGGGGTTATGCTTTTCGCTGACTTTGCTGTACGGGATTTAACCTGTGAGGGGGAGAGGGGGGGAGAGAAAGAGAGAGAGAGAGAGGACAGGGAGAGAGAAAAAGAGAGAGAAAGAGAGAGAAAGTCACAGAGGGAGAGAGAGAGACAGGGAGAAAAAAGAGAGAGAGACACACACAGAGGGAGAGAGAGAGAGACAGACAGGGAGAGAGAAAAAGAGAGAGAGAAATAGAGAAAGATACAGGGGGAGAGAGAGAGAGAGACAGGGAGAGAGAAAAAGAGAGATAGAGAAAGACACAGAGGGGGAGAGAGAGACTGGGAGAAAAAAGAGAGAGGGGGGAGAGAGAAAGAGAGAGAAAGAGAGAGACAGAGAGAGACACAGAGGGAGAGAGAGGGGGGGAGAAAAAAGAGAGAGAGACAGAGAGAGACACAGGGAGAGAGAGAGACAGGGAGAAAAGAGAGAGAGAGACAGGGAGAGAATAAACCGCACATCTGTTCAGTCAGGGTCAGCTTCTCCAGCTGTGCAGTAATACTGGACTCGCTCTGGGGTCTACATATCCGGGGATAAGCCATGGGGGCTTCGTGATGGACTGCAAAGCCTGGGGTTTTAAAAAGCTCTGCCTTTTAATCCAATTTGTTCCACGCAAAAGCTGCGACCAGGCCCGTGATCTTTCGCGCGCACCCTTCCCCCTCCCACCTTTCCAAACCCATAATGCTTCTCCTCCTCCCTGCCCTCCTTCAGGTGTGGCGTGGGTGCAACTCGGTTTGTTTTTTATGGGAGTGCAACTTAGGTCCTTTTTGTGGGGTGCAATTCAGTTCCTTTTTGTGGGGTGCAAATCAATTCGTCGGGTGCAATTCAGTTCCTTTTTGTGGGATGCAACTTACGTCCTTTTTGTGGGGTGCAATTCAGTTCCTTTTCGTGGGGTGCAAATCAATTCATTGTGTGCAATTCAGTTCCTTTTTGTGGGATGCAACTTAGGTCCTTTTTGTGGGATGCAACTTACGTCCTTTTTGTGGGGTGCAATTCAGTTCCTTTTCGTGGGGTGCAAATCAATTCGTCGGGTGCAATTCAGTTCCTTTTTGTGGGATGCAACTTAGGTCCTTTTTGTGGGGTGCAATTCAGATCCTTTTCGTGGGGTGCAAATCAATTCGTCGGGTGCAATTCACTTCCTTTTTGTGGGATGCAACTTAGGTCCTTTTTGTGGGATGCAATTTACGTCCTTTTTGTGGGGTGCAATTCAGTTCCTTTTCGTGGGGTGCAATTCAGTTCCTTTTCGTGGGGTGCAAATCAATTCGTCGTATGCAATTCAGTTCCTTTTCATGGGATGCAACTTAAATCCTTTTTGTGGGCTGCAAATCAATTTGTCAGATGCAATTCAGTTCCTTTTCGTGGGATACAATTTACCGGTACTTCCTTTTTGTGGAGTGCAAATCAGTTCTTTTTTGTGGGGTGCATATCAATTTTTTGTGGGATGTAAATCAATGCGTGGGGTGCAGTTCAATTCCTTTTTGTGGGGTGCACCTTAGATCCTTTTCGTGGGGTGCAAATTAATTCAGGGAAGCCTCTTCCGTCACTCACCCCCTCTCTCTTCTCTTCTCTTCTCCTCCCTCTCCCCTCCCTCAGATTACCAAGGCGATTACTACGGCCCTGGGAGCAACTACGACTTTTTCTCGCACGGCCCCCCCTCGCAGGCACAGTCGCCGGCCGACTCCAGCTACATCCCGACCTCGGGGGCCGGGTCCACCCCACTCGGGCCCCTGGACGCCCCCTTGGCCGCACACCACACCTCGGAGAACCAAAGGTACACGGATATGATCTCTCACTCCGACACGCCCAGCCCGGAGCCGGGGCTGCCGGGCTCGCTGCATCCCATCCCGGGAGAGGTCTTCAGTGGGGGTCCCAGCCCCCCTTTCCCTATGTCGGGGTACAGCGGTCCCCTCTCGCATTCCAACCAGGAGTTGAGCGAAGCGGCCGTCTGGTAGAGCGCCCGGGAAGGGGGGACGCCGCGCTCCAGACCTCTCGTCTAAGCCCCCAACTCGGACCGAGCCCCTCTTCCCACCCGGAGTTGGGGGGGCTTCCCTCGGAGCCGCTCCAGGACCGCTGAGTGGGCCCAGTGGAGACGCCTTGGAAAGCCCGGGTAGGGAGCGTCGAGGGGGCCGCCAGCTGCCAACCTCCGAGTTTCTCAACTCTTTTGGACCAAAGTTGGATTCGCTCCTCGTTTCGCAGACTGGAGGATGGGGATGAGGAATGGGGAGGGGGGCTTCTCTTCCCTTGCCCCGTTCCACCTCGCTGGCCCTCACCCACCCACCCAGGATAGTGTCTTGGGTTCGATTTTTAGTGTTTTTTTTTTTAAATAAAAATAAAGGGAGATGGGGAGAGAAGACAGACACACAAAAAACATCCAAAAAGCAAATTGGAATTTGGTTCGCTTTGCTTTCGTTTTTCTCCGGATTCGGACCCCCAAAGGAAAAAAGGAAAAAAGGAAAAAGGAAGGAAGGAAGAAAGAAAGAAAGAAAGAAAGAAAGAAAGAAAGAAAGAAAGAAAGAAAGAAAGAAAGAAAGAAAGAAAGGATTTCTTTTAATTAGGAAACTGGTTTGATTGACGGCGATGGCAGGGCGAAGTGGGGGTTGGAAAAGGGGGAAGAAGAGCCGGAGTGGATTTTGGGTTTTGTTTTTTTTTTTGTTGGTGACGCGGCGCCCCCTGGTGGTCGGTGCTTGGAACGACATGCCGGACTTCTTCAAAGAACTCCTTCAAGACGGATTGGCGAGGGGGTCTTGGTTTCCTTTGGGTTGAATTAATTCATTAATATTATTCTAATATTATTCTTTATTTTTATTGGGGAGGGAAGACGACGCCCCCACTTCCCCACCCCCGACGACCAATAACAGCAAACATTTTAAAAAAGAGAGAGAAAGAGAGAGAGAGAGAAAAGCAAATGATTTGAAGATGGTTAAGGACCCTTTCGCCAAATTTTGCTGGGAGGCTGTTTGAGGATGTATTATAGGGTTTTTTTGCTCCTAGTTTCTTTATTTTGTATAAAGAAGAAACAAATAAAGTATGTTTTTGTGTTTATTTGATTATTTATTACATCAAGAATCCCCAGGGAAAGAACGAAACGAATGGGAAATGCATGCTAAATTGATATATGAGAGATGACAAAAATAGCCATACCTAAATAATAACAATTGTGGGTTGCTGTTTTTTTTACATTTTTTGAGGCTATTATTTCTCTGAGAAAATGTCCAGACTGAATTCAAGAAGAAACGGAATCAAATCTTTAATACGGTCACACACCATCATAAAAGGATTCAACTTTAAAGTCTTGCGGACTTCAACTCCCAAAATTCCCCAACCAGCCATGAGAGTTGAATTCTGGGAGTTGAAGTCCACAAGTCTTAAAAGATCCCATCGTTGGACACCTCTCTGATGTAGGATGTAAAAGCAAGCACCAGAATCTTGGGTCAGATTTGGAAAAATTCTGGCAGACCCTGGGATTTTTTTTTTTTCATCCTGGCTGGGGAATTCTGGGAGTTGAAGTCCACAAGTCTTAAAGTTGCCATAGTTGGACACTCCTCGGATGTAGGGGTGTTATGAAAGATCTAGACTGCTTCTCTCCTTGATTAGTTCCCACCCATTGCTTCTTGTCCTGCCTTCAGGTGCTTTGGAGGATAACAGAGTTGTAAAGGATCTTGGAGGCTTTGCTCAACCTCTGCTCAACCAGTAGAGTTAATGGCTATTCAGTCTCTTTTTAAAAGCCTCCAGTGATGGAGCATCCACGCCTTCTAAAGACAAGCCGTTAACCGGGGGATCTTTGCTACTGTTGGGATCCTAAGACATCGCATTTTCAAAAAAATATTATTCTAGCAAATTATGGGCTGCCTGAAGCTGCAGGAGTGGGCCGGCAGCCGGATCGATCTCTCGAATCAAACATGACCAGCTCAAAAAGGAATCGCCAATCCCGGATTTAACTAATCCAATTTTACACACTGTAAAAAAGAGGTTGAGACTCTAGAAAGAGTGCAGAGAAGAGCAACCAGGATGATTAGGGGACTGGAGGCTAAAACATACGATGAACGATTGCAGGAACTGGGCATGGCTGGTCTAGTGAAGAGAAGGACCAGGGGAGACAGGATAGCATCTTCCAATATTTGAGGGGCTGCCACAGAGAGGAGAAGGGGGTCAAGCTGTTCTCCAAAGCACCCGAAGGCCAGACAAGGAATAATGGATGGAAACTGACCAAGGAGAGATTCAACCTGGAAATAAGGAGGAATTTTCTGACAGTGAGAACCATCGACCCATGGAACAGAAGTTGCCTTCAGAAGTTGTGGGAGCTTCATCCCTGAAAGCTTTCAAGAAGAGACTGGACTGCCATTTGTCAGAAAGGGTGTAGGTTCTACTTGAGCGGAGGGTTGGACTAGATGACCTACAAGGTCCCTTCCAACTCTGTTAATCTGAATTTATCTAAAATGATCAAAGGCCTGGAGACTAAAACATACGATGAACGGTTGCAGGAACTGGGCATGGCTGGTCTAGTGAAGAAAAGGACCAGGGGAGACAGGAGAGCAGTCTTCCAGTATTTGAGGGGCTCCCACAGAGAGGAGGGGGTCAAGCTATTCCCCAAAGCACCCGAAGCAGGGGTGATATTCAGTAGGTTCTGGAGAACCGGTAGTGAAAATTTTGAGTAGTTCAGAGAACTGGCAAATACTACCTCTGGCTGGCCCCAGAGTGGGGTGGGAATGGAGATTTTGCAGTATCCTTCCCCTGCCACGCCCACCAAGCCACGCCCACAGAACCGGTAGTTTAAAAAAAATTGAATTCCACTGCTGACCTGAAGGCCAGACAAAGGAAGAATGGATGGAAACTGAACAAGGAGAGATTCAACCTGGAAATAAGGAGGAATTTTCTGACCGTGAGAACAATCAACCGAAGGAACAGAAGTTGCCTTCGGAAGTTGTGGGAGCTTCATCACTGGAGGCTTTCGAGAAGAGACTGGACTGCCATCTGTCAGAAATGGTGTAGGGTCTCCTGCTTGGGCGGGGGGTTGGACTAGATGACCTCCAAGGTCCCTTCCAACTCCGTTTATTCTGTAATCTGTAACCTGTAATCTAACCCAGCCCCAATTCAAATATCACACCTCCCTGCTTGGCCCCAAGCGTTCATTGTTGTTCTGAGCATCTCCATCCGAGCGGTCCTCTTACGGCCCCCCCCAGCCAAAAGCAGTGGCGGTGACGGGAGAGAACCGTTATAATTAAAAATAATTATGACAATAATGCAGGCAGACAGTAGCAAATAAGTGAACCTAAGACGGCGCGCTTGCTAATTGCAGTGCAGAATTGCCGTCAAAACAATGCGACTGTGGATAAATATTGATGGGGGCTAAATAATAATCGTATGCAAACAACGCAGGAGTTGGCCCTGGGGGGGGGGAGAGAGAGGGGGGGGAAGACGGAGCAGAAATGGAATGAAACATAAATCAAAATTTAAATAAGCCTGCTGAAGGAGGCTCCCATAGAGGAGATATTAAGAGCAAGGAGGAAGTTTTCCCTGTATCTAATTATCCGTTTTGCAGTCGCCCTGTGCTATGGAGGGACGCGGTGGCTCAGTGGCTAAGAGGCTGAGCTTGTCGATCGAAAGGTCGGCAGTTCAGTGGTTCGAATCCCTGGTGCCGCGTAACGGGGTGAGCTCCCCGTGACTTGTCCCGGCTTCTGCCAACCTAGCAGTTCGAAAGCAGGTAAAAAAATGCAAGTAGAAAAATAGGGACCACCATTGGTGGGGAGGTAACAGCGTTCCGTGCGCCTTTCGCGTTGAGTCATGCGGGCCACGTGACCACGGAGACGTCTTCGGACAGCACTGGCTCTTCGGCTTTGAAACGGAGATGAGCACCGCCCCCTAGAGTCAGGAACAACTCTAGCACATAAGTGCGAGCGGAACCTTTACCTTTATGGCCGACTAATAAATTTAATAAAATTTATGGATGGCGAATAAATTTACTAAATACAGGTAATTCCAAACAGTAGTTTGTTTAGTGACAGTTCGAAGTTACAGCTGCCTTGAAAAAAGCAACTTAGGAACCATTTTTTCACACCACCGTCATGGCCTCCGCATAGTCACGTGATCGAAATTCTGACGCTTGGCCACTGACTCGTATTTATGACGGGTGCTGCATCCCCGGGGTCGCGTGATCTCCCTTGTGCGACCTTCGGATGAGCGAAGCCGGATTCATTTAACAACTGGGTACTAACTGAAATAACTGCAACGGTTTGCTTAACGACCGGGGGGGAACAAGAAAGGTCGTAAAATGAGACAAGGGCTCACTTAATCTCACTGTCTCGCTTTGCAACGGAAAAGGTGGGCTCAATGGCGGTCGTAGAGTCGTGATGCATAAATAAATTTCAGATAGGGGCACAAGGCTGAGGAAAGGGCCAAGAACGAGCCTGAGAGTTTTACAGCCTCTTCTTTTCAAGGAACGCGAGCAGAAAGAAGGGGCGGCCTTGCCAGCTCTGTTTGCATTGGTAGTTTATTTTGGAGAAATTGCAGAACCGAAGGGCAGCCGGGCGGTATTTCCTCATTTGGGTTGGGTAGGTTTTTAATCGTTTTGCTGCGCGTATCGCACAAGGCTACCGAGCCACTGTGGCTGGCCCCTCCTCTTTTTTTTTTGCAAGAATATTTTCTCTACTTAACGATAAATCCAGCAAGCCGATGAATATTACATGATTGTTTTGTGCATGTTATTTTCCTTCCTCCCTCCCTTCTTTCCTTCCTTCCTTCTTTCCTTCCTCCCTCCCTCCCTCTTTCCCTTCCTTCTTTCCTTCCTCCCTCCCTCCCTCCCTTCCATCTTCCCTCCCTCCCTCCCTTCTTTCTTTCCTTCCTTCTTTCCTTCCTTCCTCCCTCCCTCCCTCCTTCCCTTCCTTCTTTCCTTTCTTCCTTCCTTCCTCCCTCCCTCCCTCCCTTCCTTCCTCTCTCCCTCCCTTCCTTCTTTCCTTCCATCCTTCCTTTCTTCCCCTCCCTTCCTCTCCCTCTTCCATCCCTTCCTTCTTCCTTCCTTCCTTCCCTCTCTTCCTTCCTTCCTTCCTCCTTCCTTCCTTCCTATTCCTTCCTTCCTTCTCCTCCTCCTTTCCTTCCTCCTTCCTTCCTTCTTCCTCCTTCCTTCCTCTCTCCTTCCTTCTCCTTCCCTCTCCTTCCCCTTCCTTCCTTTCTTCCTTCCATCTCTCCTTCCTTCTCCCTTCTCTTCCTTCTCATCCTCCTTCCTTCTTTCCCTTCCTTCTCTTTCCTTCCCTTCCATCTTCTTCCTTCCTTTCTTCTTCCCTTCCTTCCTTCCTCTTCTTCCTCCTTCCTTCCTCCTCTCTCTCTCTTCCTTCTTTCTTCCTCCTTCCTTCCTTCCTCTCCCTCCTCCTCTCCTCCCTCCTTCTTCCTTCTTCTTTCTCTTCCTTCCTTCCTTCCTTCCTTCCTTCCTCTCCTTCCTTCCTCTCTCCCTCCCTTCCTTCTTTCCTTCCATCCTTCCTTTCTTCTTTCCTTCCTTCCATCCATCCTTCCTTCCTTCTTTCTTTCCTTCCTTCCTTCCTTCCTTCCTTCCTTCCTTCCTTCCTTCCTTCCTCCCTCCCTCCCTCCCTCCCTCCCTCCATCCTTCCTTCCTTCCTTCATAACCACCCTGTTGCTAACTCAACGGCTGCAGTGATTCACTGAACGGGTTTGTGGCTAGAAGAATAGAAATGGAATGGAATGACAGGGTTGGAAGGGACCCTGGAGGTCTTCTAGTCCAACCCCCTGCTTAGGCAGGAAACCCTACACCACTTCAGACAAATGGTTATCCAACCTCTTCTTAAAAACTTCCAGTGTTGGAGCATCCACAACTTCTGAAGGTAAGCTGTTCCACTTTCTCACTGTCAGAAAATTTCTCCTTAATTCCAGGTTGCTTCTCTCCTTGATTCGTTTCCACCCGTTGCTTCTTGTCCTGCCTTCAGGTGCTTTGCAGAATAGTTCGACTCCCTCTTCTTTGGGGCAGCCCCTGAGATATTGGAAGGCTGCTATCATGTCACCCCTTAATCCTTCTTTTCATCAGACTAGACATACCCAGTTGTAGAAAGGTCGTAAAAGCGAGCAAAAGTCATATAACCGCTGTCTTGCTTTGCAACGGAAATGCTGGGCACAATTATGGTCGTAAGACAAAGATTACCTGCATCCAAAATGGCTCTGGTTTAAGCATCTAACTAGAGGAGTGGTTTTGGGGAATCGTGTGTCCGGAAACACGTGACTTCATTTCATGCCCAGCTGTTTCTTCAAAGCCTGGAGACCCGGCAGACTGATCCCACTCCCCCCACAAACGATGATGACGATGGACTCCAGCGTCTTGCTTAGCCTTCCTTCTTTCTGCAGCTTCTGTAGGTAGCCCGAATATAAAACAGCCAGCGAGGCACCACAAGCGGGGTCTACCAAAATCCGTTCATTGTCTGAGAAAGACACAAGCAGCAAATGACAGCCGGGTTAAAGAAGTCAGGAGCAAAGGGGAGGGGGGGGTCCCTCAATATAGCATGTAACGGCAGCCAATCAGAAAAGCAGAAAGAAGGGGGAAGGGGTGGGCTTCAAAAATTTTAGCAAGGGGTTCTCTGCCTGGTTGCTGGGTAGGCATGGCCTAGTCAGCCTTCAGCACCACAGTGGGGGGGGGCATTTTTGCCCTCCCCGGGCTCTGGAGGCTTCTCTTGAGCCTCCGGGAAGACGAAAACGGCCTCCCCAGGCTCCGGAGGCCCTCTGGAGGCTGGAAGGCCTGTTTCCGGCCTTCCAGTAGACCCGTTTTTCACTCTAAGAGGGGAGAGATGGGCGGGTCCAGCCAGGACTGGGATTTGGGGGTTCTCCGAACTGCACAGAATCTTAGCTAGAAGTTCTCCCGAACCCCTGCGAACCTCCAACAGCACACCTGCTAAGTGGCTCCAGCCCTGAGCCAAACCTTGGCTGATCTCAGAAGGTCTAAGGAGGTCTACTCCTGGTTAGTTTTTGATGGGTGGCAGTAGGAAGGCTTGCCAACAAGACTGGGAGAACAACAAATGCATTCTGAAAAAAGTTCCCAAAAGTGTTTTTTTTTCTTTTTTTTTTTTTTCAAAAGGCAACTGAGGCTTTGTTTTCTCCTTGAAGTCATTTCGCTTCTCATCCGAGAAGCTTCTTCAGTTGTTCTGCAGAACTGAAGAAGCTTCTCGGATGAGAAGCAAAACGTCTTCGAGGACAAAAAAAACAAAGTCCAGTTGCATTTTAGGAAAAAAAGCACCTTTGGGACAACTATGACCCGGATAACTGAGAATCTCTTGTGGACATTGTGAAAAAGGCAATCACAAACCATCATATACCCTGTTTCCCCGAAAATAAGACTGGAAAATAAGCCCTAGCATGATTTTTTTCAGGATGCTTGTAATATAAGCATTTTATTCGAGACGACCACGAAACCTAACACCCTACCCCCAAAATAAGCCCCAATTAAGACTGTCAGCCAAATGGATGCGTTTAGTACCGCATTTTCCCCAAAATAAGACCTAACCAGAAAATAAGCCCTAATGTCTCTTTTTCAGCAAAAATTCATATAAGACCAGGTCTTATTTTCGTGAAAACACTGGTACTCTCTTGCCAAGAAAATTACCTATCCATGGTCACCAGAAGTCAACCTTGAGTGGAAGGAGACTACCATGCATAAACAGATCAATCAATCAATCTGTTAAAATAAACAGGTGATATCCAGGAAGGTCTGGACATGTTCATGGAGTCAACCACAGGAGATGTCCAAGGAATTCTCTAGAGTTGATTGTCTCTCTTCAGGACTGGAAACATCCACCCAACCTTCCAGTCCCGTCTCTCAAAGTCAACTTCTAACACTCACCCAGAAATTGCTCTACAGCTTTCACAGCTTCCACGTCCTCCAGAACATAAGAGATGATTGGACATTCCTTGGTACAATCTAAGGCCCTCTGGGCCACCGTCTTAGCCCCAAGGCACCTGGCCACGCTGCGGAATGATAAGCGGAAAAAAAGCCGGTGTAGAGAAGATCAACCACAAAGTTCAAGGGTGGAAGGGTGGAATTCCCCCATAGTTTCTTCAACCATGTATTTCATGATTCCCCTAGCCCAAACCCTAACCCTAACCTTAACCCTAACCCTAACCCTAACCCTAACCCTAACCTTAACCCCAACCCTAATCCTACCCCTAACCCTACCCCTACCACTACCCCTACCACTACCACTACCCCTACCACTACCCCTACCCCTAACACTAACCCTAACCCTAAGCAACCCTACCCCTACTCCTACCCCTACCCCTACCCCTAACCCCTAACCCTAACCCTAACCAACCCTACCCCTACCCCTACCCCTACCCCTACCACCCCTACCCCTACCTCTACCCCTACCCCTACCCCTACCTCTACCCCTACCCCTACCCCTAACCCTAACCCCAACCCTACCCCTACCCCTACCCCTACCTCTACCCCTACCCCTACCCCTCCCTAACCCTAACCAACCCTACCCCTACCCCTACCCCTACCCCTACCCCTACCCCTACCCCTAACCCCTAACCCTAACCCTAACCCCTAACCGTAACCTTAACCCCTACCCTAACCCTAACCCTAACCAACCCTACCCCTACCCCTACCCCTAACCCTAACCCTAACCAACCCTAACCGTACCCCTACCCCTACCACTACCCCTAACCTACCCCCAACCCCTAACCCTAACCCCTACCCTAACCCCAAATATAGGGTATAGGGTCTATTTCCTGAGCAGGGGGCTGGACTAGAAAACCTCCAAGGTCTCTTCCAACTAGAGTAATATGTTTTATGACATTGCATTACGGTGTATTTTATTGCATTTGCTATTTTTGCTTTATGGGATTCAAAAGGTAGAGTTCAAGGAGAAAAAGAAGGAAGGAAAGAAGGAAGGCGAGAAAGGGAAGGGAAGGAGGGAGGGAGGAAAAGAGAAGGAGGGGAAGGGAGGGAGGGAGGGAAGGAAGGAAGAAGAGAAAGGGAAGGAGGGAGGGAGGGATGGAGCAAGGAAAAGAAAAGGGAAGGAGGAAAAGAGAAGGAGGGAGGGAGGGAAGGAAGGAAGGAAAGAAGAAGGGAAGGGAAGGAGCGAGGGAGCAAGGAAAAGAGAAGGAAGGAAGGAAGAAGAGAAAGGAAAGGGAAGGAGCGAGGGAGCGAGGAAAAGAGAAGGAAGGAAGGAAGGAAGGAAGGAAGGAAGGAAGGAAGGAAGGAAGGAAGGAAGGAAGGAAGGAAGGAAGGAAGGATTCTTCAACCACCTTGCAGTGAAGTTCAGCTCCACACCACAACATACCTGGTGATATCGGGCAAAGTGACCAGCTGACCAGCCTGGATGGCTGCATTAAAACTTTCAGCTCCTCTGGTCTCCACAGCAATGATGGGGACGTCCGACCAGCCCACTTCCTGCAAACCAGAGACCACTCCAGCCAGAAGGCCACCGCCTCCCACCGACAGCACAATAGCTCCTGGTCTGGTCACTAGAGACCCCTCCAGCTCCTTGACAAGGCTGCTGTGTCCTTTCCTGCAAGGAGAGTAAAACCCCAAGTCCTTGAAGGAGCTCCCCAAAGTTGCAAAGTTGGGGCCAAAGGTGTGCTCCAGGGCAAGGGTCTCCAACCTTGGCAACTTTAAGCCTGGTGGACTTCAACGCCCAGAATTCCACAGTCAGCGAACTTCAACTCCCAGAATTCCACAGCCATCGGACTTCAACTCCCAGAATTCCACAGCCAGCGGACTTCAACTCCCAGAATTCCACAGTCAGCGGACTTCAACTCTCAGAATTCCACAGCCAGCGAACTTCAACTCTCAGAATTCCACAGCCATCGGACTTCAACTCCCAGAATTCCAGTCAGCGGACTTCAACTCCCAGAATTCAACAGCCAGCGGACTTCAACTCCCAGAATTCAACAGCCAGCGGACTTCAACTCCCAGAATTCCACATTCACAGTCCAGCGAACTTCAACTCCCAGATTCCACAGCCATCGGACTTCAACTCCCAGAATTCCACAGTCAGCTTTGCCTAACCATTAACCCCTTGCTTGCTGTGGAATTCTGGGGGTTGAAGTCCACCAGGCTTAAAGTTGCCAAGGTTGGAGACCCTTGCTCCAGGGTAGAGCAGATGCCATCCTTAAGTCATATTTATTTATTAATTAGATTTTTATCCCGCCTTCGTTAGTTTCTAAATAGCTCAAGTTGACATACATACTGTACTTACAATAGTGGCCAAAATTGTGGGAAGCTTTTGGGAAAAGTTGTATTTTCTAAAACTAGCTAATAACACCACTTTTTTTGTGGTTTTTTGGGGAGTAGTACCATAAAATTATATATCAATGGAAAGATCATTGAATCAAGAAGGTGACGCAATAACTTTCATGAAGGGTTTGCTATTAGAATAGCAGTTACAGGATAAAGAAGAAAAGTGAAACACGTAGAAAAAAGAGATATACAAAAATGATCACCGTAGAAAAAACGAGATATATGGAAATGATCACCACGTCAGTTAATACTAAATTGGGTAACCTTTAGCATGAATGACGGCCTTACAACGTCTTCCCATGGAGTGAACCAAGTCTTTGAGTTCTGCAGCTGTTCTCATGTGAAACCAAGATTGAAGGATGGCTTCTGTTAACTGGGTTTTATTGCTGGGTCGCTTCTGACTAACCAGTTTCTTTAGTCAGCTGCATAGATTTTCAATTGGGTTAAGGATTGGGCTCTTCCCAGGCCATTCCAGCAGTGGAATAGGATGATCTTGAAACTCCATTAAAAAAAAAAAAGTGGTGTTATTAGCCATCAAACCTCAAAAATACACTTTCCCCAAAACGTTCCCACAATTTTAGCCACTGCTGTAGTACAACCTCAACTTTCTACAGTTCGTTTAGTTCAAATTTACAACAGCATTGAAAAAAGGGACATAGGACCGTTTTTCACACTTAACGACCGTTGCAGCATCCCCATGGTCGCATGATCAAAATTTAAACACTCGGTCTCGTATTTATGTCGGTCGCAGTGTCCCAGGCTCAGGTGATCTCCTTTTGCGACCAGACAAAGTCAGCGGGGAAGCAGGATTCGCTTAACCACCGTGTTACTAATTTATGAACTGCCGTGATTCACTTAACAACGGTGGCCAGAAGGGTCGTCACGTGGGCCCCTTAACAAATGTCTCACTTAGCAACAGAAATGTTGGGCTCAATTGCGGTCGTAAGTCGAGGACTGCCTGCATTCCTTCCTCCTCCCAAAGAGATGGGGGATTCGGGAATGGCCATCTTGGCATAGGTTTCTTACCATACTAGCGGGTGGTCAAAAGGATGGATATTGACCCAACCATCAGTCTTAGCTAGCGCCATCGCTCGATTGTTGGCATCATCCCAGACCTGCCAGGATGAACAAGGAAAACCTGAATTTAGTAGAAAGCAGCATTCAAAACGTGGCAATACCTAAATCGCTTGTCCACCTAGCAAGATGAAACTTTGATTCTGCTGCTTCATATAAGGTAGGACTCAGCATCTTGATCTCAGCCTTACCAAGTGTTAGAAATTTTGTGTGTGTGGATAGATAGATAGATAGATAGATAGATAGATAGATAGATAGATAGATAAATAGATCTCACCACAGATCAAACAAAGGGTACTGTCACCATGTGCTTTACTGCTTAACTGTTTTAACTGTAACAAGAAAAAGGAAACTCTACTTAGAACAAAAGAACATAGAGCCGTGACGGCGAACCTATGGCATGTGTGCCACAGGTGGCATGCGGAGCCATATCTGTGCACATGCAAGAGTTTCCCTAGATCAACTCCAGCGCGCATGTGCATGCCGGCCAGCTGATTTTCGGGCCTTCCGGGCCCACCGGAAGTCAGGAAACAGGCTGTTTTCGGCCTCCGGGATGGGTGGGGAAAGCTGTTTTTGCCCTCCCTAAGTTCCAAGAAAGCCTCTGGAGCCTGGGGAGGGCAAAAACCAGGCCTACTGGGCCCACTGGTAAACCTTTTGCCGTCACGTGCCAAAAACGGGGGGAGTGCGGGGGAAGTGTGCACATGCATGGGGGGGAGTATTGAATTATGGGTATGGGCATGTGCATGCGCAAAACCTCTCCCGCACTCCCCCCGCTTTTGGCACGCGATGGCAAAAAGGTTAGCCATCACTGATATAGAGCAGGGGTCCCCAACCTTTCGGACCTCAGGGACCACTAAATTCATAATTTTTAATCCCGCGGACCACTAATATGATCTGCCTAATGACTGGTTGGGTGGGTGTGGCTAGGTGGTCATGTGACTGGGTGGGCGTAGCCAACTCGATGTCACTCACATTGAGGAGCGCCTCGCCAGCCTCTACTCACCCCTCCCCTCCTAGCCACTCCTCGTCTCCCCGCCCGGGCTCCTTGGAGCCCCAACAGGAAGCAGTTGTTGGAGCTAAGCAGCCACCACGAGAAAGAGTTGGCAAAACAGCTCAGTTCAAATTGGATCTGGCCGAGAAGGAGGCTCAGCAGAAGCACCTCACTGAGGACTAGGAGCATAGGCTTTCCAAGCAGAGGGAAGACCTGCGGGAGTGCAAGGCCAGGTACCGGCACCTGGAGGCTCAGCGGGCTGAGATGGTCAGCCAGTTCCAGGCCATGATGCAGTCCCACTGGAACGAGGCCCTCCGGCTCTTTGCCACCAGCGGCTCTTCCCTCCAGCCTTCGCCCAAAGCCCCCCACCAGGAGGCCGAAGCAGATCCCAAGTCTGAATTTTTGCCCCCCTCCGACACACACAAAAAAATCCGAAGGGGGAGACTCTCTGCAGCAACACAAACGTTCATGGCACGTATCTGTCCCAGGGTCTGTAATTTGAGGACCCCTGATTTACTGCAATATAAAAATGCAAATAATTTTTCTGCGGACCCTCAAAATTTTCTCATGGACCACCAGTGGTCCTCGGAGTATAGATCCAGACTTGTAAACACTGCCATCTACTGGCTGAATACTACTGTGGTTGCTGCAGAAAAATACATCCCAACAATGAAGGACCAGATGGAGAACATGCCCAGATAAGCTAATTCTACTTTCTTGTAAAAAGGTAAAGGTTTCCCTGTCCGAATCAAAGGCATGGTGCCCATCTCCGTTTCTTAGCCGAGGGAGCCAAAACTGTTCCTTAATTCTGGAACATTTTAATTTCCCTATGTTTACCTTCCCGAAAATTTCCACGTTTGCTCCGTACTGCTCGAGCCTTTTTATCGTTGACTCTGTGGTGCCGCGGGGCACGACGATTGTCGCCGGCATCCTCAGTTCCCTGGCTGCGTAGGCTGCAGCCAAACCGGCATTTCCACCTAAAAGGTTTTGGAGGAAGAGAGAGAGAAAATTGCTTTCTATGGGAATCTCAAAAAAGTGCTTGAACAAGAGGCAACTGGACTTCCTTTGTTTTTCCCTGAAGAGGTTTCGCTTCTCATCCGAGAAGCTTCTTCAGTTCTCAGTGAATGGTGGGTCACCTGATCAAAAATTCAAATGCTTGGCAACTGACTCGTACTTATGACGGTTGCAGTTTCCCAGGGTCATTTGATCGCCTTTTGTGACTTTCTGATAAGCAAAGTCTATGGGGTAGCTAGCCATGACCACGTTACTAACTTAACAACTGCAGGGACTCCCTTAACAACTGTGGCAAGGAAGGTTGCAAGATGGGGCAATACTCATTTAACACATGTCCCACTTACAACGTGAATTTTGGGCTCCGTCGTAAATTGAGGACTATTTGTATAATCCTTTGCAGTCATCTGGTCATTAGCACTCTCTCTGAGAGCCATTGTGGCCATTTGGGGGTCACCTGAATCAGAGTGCAAATGGATGTGGAGCTTTCTTGGAACTGCTGAAAGGACTGTGTTGTGAACCGGAGATGGGCGGTGTCCTATCCCTCCCCCTCTGTTGAGAGATGGCTGTTCAGTTTTGATACACATGGCCTCTTTTACCCTTCTTACAAACCAGAAGGTTCAGAATGTGGACTTTGCTGTCTTCAAAAGAGTGACCTTTGTCTTTCAAATGCAGATGGACTGCTGAATCTTTTCCTGGTGGGTTTGTTCTATGTTGTGCCATGCGAATGTAAAGTGGTTGTTTTGTTTCTCCAATATATACATATACATATATATTCCCCAATATCTCTCTCTCTCCCTCTCTCTCTCCCCCTCTCTCTCCTCTAATCTCTCTCTCTCCCTCCTCTAATCTCTCTCTC